GAGCTTCTGTGCTTGTGAAACTACCACCTGCCTGTGGTTATGACCTATAACCCCATTGGTCTACAAGCTCCATTGGAGGTCGTGGCTGTTGTCAATTTTGAGGTAGCCTAGGATTAGGCAGTCGTTGGCTGGCTAAATAAAACTCCTTTTGTCACCTACTGTGCCTCCACGGATTTCTTGATTTTGAGGACATTACATATAGTAAGACTCTGTCTTAAAAAAATGTCCTTCCCCCATTTAAGTTGTTTTCTCAGGTTTGTTGTGGAAATGGCCACATAACAGTGATGTTCTGCCTTGCATGCATGAGGCCCTGGGTTTGATTCCTCAGCCCCACATAAGCAGAAAACGTTGGAAGTGGTGCTGTAGTTTAAGTGGCAGAGTGCTAGTTGAGCTGAAGGGCTGAGGGACAGCGCCTAGGCCCAGAGTTCAGGCCCCACAACCTCAAAAAAAAAAGTTTCAGGGGGACTTTCCTGCTCAGGCTGGCTTCTAACCACAATCCTTAGATTTCAGCCTCCTGAATAACTAGGACCACTGGTTCCCATCTTAAAAAGTTGGGTCCCCCCCCCCAGTAATGGAGCTTGAATTCAGAATATCACATCTGCTTGACTTGCTTGCTTGGCTGGTATTCTACCATTTGAGCCATACCTCCAGCCCAGCTTTTTTTATTTTGGAGATGGTGTCTAGGAAACTTTTCTGCCTGGGCTGTCCTTGAACTATGATCTCCTGGGTCTTTGTATCCTGAGTAACTAGGATTACAAGCATGAGCTAACAGTCCCCATTACATCTCCAATTGAAACCTGCTGAAAACCTTTGAATCAGGCTGGGCATCGGTGGCTCCTGACTGTAATCCTAGCTATTCAGGAGGCTGAGATCTAAGGATGGCGGTTTGAAATCAGCCTGGGCAGAAAATTCCCCTGTGAGATTCTTTTTTTTGTGGGGGGGTCCAGTTGTGGGGCCTGAACTCTGGGCCTGGACACTGTCCCTCAGCTCTACAGCTCAAGGCTAGTGCTCTACCACTTGAGCCACAGCACCACTTGCAGCTTTTTCTGCTTATGTGGTGCTGAGGAATCGAACCCAGGGCCTCATGCATGCAAGGCAAGCACTCTACCACTGAGCCACCTTCCCAGCCCTCCCTGTGAGACTCTTATCACCAATTAGCCACTCAAAAACTGGAAGTGGTGCTGTTGCTTAAGTGGTAGAACGCTAGCCTTTGGCACAGGGACAGTGCCCAGGCCCAGCCCCACAAGCGACTAAAAGGAAAAAAAAGAAAAGAAAACTGAGTCAGAATTTCCCAGCTAAGTCACTCTTAATTTCTTGACTCACAGAAACTGAGATAATACATCAATAATTATTACTGTTTAAGCTGAGTGTTGGGTGTTTTTACCTAGCAGCAGGCAGTTAATTTAGTAGCTGTTTTGTTTGCTGTTTTATCACAAGAATGGCTCTAGATTTGTAAGTCATTCCTTTAGTCTAGCTAGTTCCTCTGGAACACTATACTTACCAAGGCCCCAGTGCTGCTTGTTGTTGGAGTATTCACCAGGAAATCAGTTTCTCCCAGTGGATAACTAACAGTCAGAATGACTTTAAAATGATCTCTCTCTCTCTTTCAAAAAAAGTATTATAACCATGGAGGAAGGAAATTTCTTAATTGCTACTTCCATTTCACTTTTTGAAAATAAAAATCTTAGCTTAATCATAGGTTTGTTTGCCTTACTTTGCTCTAAGGCAAATTTTCAATTTCATTTTAAAAATAAATGTTTTAAGTTATAACACACAGAGGAAATAAAGCACAAATTGTAAGTGAACACCTTAATGAAATAATTACACAGTATAACTACTACCCAGATCAGAGAAACATTTGTCAGTTTGGTAAGGGAGTCTATCTTTCACCACTTCTTTCTTCCCTTTTCCAAAAGTACCATTATCCTTGCTTCTTATAACTTTTGCACATATATTTACTTCTTGTGATGGTGGGGATCAAACCCAAGGCCTTAAGCATGTTAAGCAAGCACTCTACACCTGAGCTACACCTTTCATATCTGAACTTAATGTAAATAAAATTACACAATATGTATTTCTTGTGCCTTGTTTCTTTTGCTCAGTATATACTTCTTTGCATTTTTTAGGATTCCGAACATTCTAATTGTCACCAATATATGCTTTATCTATTATTTTAATGATAGTTTAATGATAGCCATAGACTATAAATTTACAAATATGCTAGGGAGAATGAATTGTTTTTGAGCTGTTTTTGTTCAAGCTTAATGCTCTACCACTTTGAGCCACAGCACCACTTCTGGTTTTTGAGTGGTTAATTGGAGATGTCTTTTTTTTTTTTGGGTCCGGTCATGGGGCCTGAACTCTGGGTGCTGTCCCTCAGCTCTTCAGCTCAAGGCTAGCGCTCTACCACTTGAGTCACAGCGCCACTTCTGGGTTTTTCTTTTTGCTTATGTAGTGCTGAGGAATTGAACCCAGGGCCTCAAGCATGCAAGGCAAGCGCTCTACCACTGAGCCAACTTCCCAGATCCTTACAGAAACTTTTCTGCCTGAGTATCTAGAATTACAGTCATGAATCACTGGCACCTAGCTGCTTCCTATTATTATTATTGTTATTGTCTGTTGTGGGGCTTGACTCTGTACCTGGGCACTGTCTCTCAGTTCTTCAGCTCGGCTAGCGCTCTACCACTTGAGCCACAGTACCACCACTTCTGGTTTTCTGGTGGTTTACTGGAGATAGTCTCAGGGAGTTTTCTGCCCAGGCTGGCTTTGAATCGTGATCCTCAGATCTTGGCCTCTTTAGTGGCTAGGATTAAAGGCATGAGCTACTGGCACCTGGCCAGCCTGCCTGTTAAGTGGTCACTTGGAGATAGAGTCTGACTTTTCTACACAGGTTGGCTTTTACCTATGAACCTCCAGATCTCTTTTCTTTCTTCTTCTTCCTCCTCCTCCTTCTTCTTCTTCTTCACCAGTCCTGGGGCTTGAACTCTGGGCCCGGGGAACTGTCCTTGAAGTTTATTTTGCTCAGTTGAACCACAGTACCACTTCTGGCTTTTTCTGTTTATGTGGTACTGAGGAATCAAACCTAGGGCTTCATGTATGCTAGACAAGTACTCTACCACTAAGCCACATTCTCAGCCCCAGATCTCAGTTTTCAGTAAGGGTTACCAAACATGAGCCACTGGTGTCCCACAGTCTGTCTTCTGTGTATGTGTGTGTGTCCTAGTGTTTGAACTCAGGGCCTGGGCACCATTCCTGAGCTTTTCTGTGTTCAAGGCTTACACTATACCCACTTGAGCCAAAGCTCTACTTCCGACTTTTTAATGGTTAATTGGAGATAAGAGTCTCAACTTTTCTGCCTAGGCTAGATTCAGTCATCCTCAGATTTCAGCCTCCTGAGAAGCTAGGGCTACAGGCTACAGGCCATTGGCCATTTTTTTTTTTTTTTTTTAGGTAAGGGGTAGGTTTATTCAGTAGACCTGCTGGGACCAGGCCAGGTTGGCCCTCCACACAGCTGGGAAAGGCCTGGGAAAGAGCTGAGAAAGAGCTGAGAAAAGAGAATCTGGGCCTGGGCTAGGCCTTATCTAGGGTATGGGCGGAGAAAGGTGTGGCCACATCAAATTCAGATGTGGCCTCTTCCAGGTGTGCCAGTTGGCCATCTGTTTTTTTAAGCTCTGTGTTTTGGATAAATTGCTTTATCCTCCGAATATTGCTGTGGGAATGTAAAGGCACTCAGAAAATTGAAAAAATACTACCAGATTCTTGGCTTTGATATTAGGGTACTTCTTGGCAGACTAGAGAGATGATCTGTCAGAGTTCATAGATTTTGATAAAATTCCCTGTAGGTTAAGGAGAACCACAAATGGGATGGGTGGGGGGAGGGAGAGGGTAGGAGCAGAAAGGTAGTCAATATTGGGCACTGAGATTTAGAATAGAAATAGATGTTCTTGGTTTTTGCCAGTGGGATGCCAGTTTGCAGGGTTCTTACATGGAGAGAGGGGCTAGCTTGGAGTTAGAATGGGAATTCTATTCAACAAAGACAAGAAAAGCTCAGCTTTCTGGCTCAGAATGCTGCCAGTCATGACTGGGGAGAACTATCACCCCAAAATCATAGCAAGATAGGCCTTGCAATAAGACATTAGCTTTAGGGGTACTCTCTTATTTCAGCCTTTGGTAAATGAGAGCCATCAGGCTTGGGGCTGTGGGTGACCATTTCCTGTCATCCTTAGAGAGGACTTAAAAATACATTCGGCCACCAAAACCTTCCAAGAGACAATACAAAACAGGTTGAGTCTCCTTCAAAAAGCTAACCCAACGTCCCGTCTCCCACACTCGGCTCCTTCACCACGGGAGGGTGGAGAAGGATTTATAACCCACCTCCTTTCCCCTGGTTACCATGGAGACCAACGCCAGTCCTTTCATCCCTTCTGGTACCCGGAACAGCTCTCCAGGCGGAATGGAAGGGCTTAGCCCAAACACGCTGGGGGGGAGGGGTCGGTACTCAATAGCGCGAGGGCCTGGTGGAGCTCCGGGCAGCTGCGGATCCAGGCCGAGGGACAAAGGCTAAGGTCAGCTGCGGCTCAAGTCCTCCCGTCTGCGAACTAGCGGCCAACCGCTTTGGGGGCTATGCTGGGCTACAGGGCACAGAGCACAACTTGGGAATCGATCCGGGAGAGTTCCAGGGACCGGGGGCGCTGACCTGCCGACTCGTGGGGGGCGGATAGGTGAAGGGGCCCGCGTGCCCAACACCCTCGCGTCCATTGGGCGACGCCGCCATCACTCTCCCGGAGGCGACACCGCCTTCTCCACAGGCGAAGCGAGATCTTCCCTTTCCCTCCTCCATCTCCCACCCCGCCCCGTGTCGGAAGCTTCTTATTGGATGAAAGTGAAGTCAATCCATCTCGAGTCAGGAATTTTATTGGGTGACAGCTCCCAGGCTGCTCCAATTGGTTTGTTGCTCGTTGGCGCAACGGAAGAGGCGGCCGGCCGAGGGTGCGCCTCTGCTCCGGCTGGACTGCCGCGGAGGAGGAAAAGAGGAGTCCGGCGCTGGGGGGCTGGCTCGGGCGGCAGCGGTGGCTGCTGCGGATGGGAACGGGCCGGCCCGGCGCGCCCATGGAGCGCCACGGCAGGGCCGCCGCCACTTCCTCAGCCTCGTCGGCTGGAGAGCCGGCGTCTGGGGACTCGGAAGGGCGGCGGCGGCGGGAGCCACTGCGGCGCCGGGCGAGCAGCGCGTCGACGTCCGAGGTCGGGGCCTCGGCGGAGAGCCTGAGGCGGGAGCGGCCCGGCTCCTACAGCGGCCCTACCTCGGTCTCCCGCCAGCGCGTCGAAAATCTCCGAAAAAAGCGGCCGCGTAAGTGCCCCGCGGGGCGTCCTGCGGCTCGCCCTGCCCCCTCTTCCGGCCCGGCCGCCGTTTTTTTTCTTTCTTTTTTTTTTTTTTCCCGCGCGCGGACAGTGCCCCCGCACGGTGGTCCCACGTCGGTGCGTGGCCTGACACCCCGCTGGAGACCACCGCGCCCCCCCTCCCCCCGGCCCTGCGCATCGCTTCGGGAGTTGGGCCTCCGCCCGGCCCTCGCGGCCTTGGGGCTGCGCTTCCAGCTTGCGGCGCTGCCCCGACCCCTTCCTCCCTCTGCCTCGGCTCCTCGGGCGTGCTTTTACCAGGAGCCACAAAGACTTCATCCTTGAGAAGGCTTCTTTTGACTCATTTCCATAAGTCTTCGCCGGTCCCCCTTTCCTCCCCCACAGAGCTCTCCAATTCTCACTTGCTTCCCCAACACGTGAAATCCCCTTTTTATCAACCGGTTTCGAGCTTACTGGGAAAACGATTAAGCATCCCCCACCCCAACCCCAGTTGCTCCATTTCTAAAACTGTGTTCCCGGTTCCGTGCAACCCCCCCCCCCCCCCCTCTTCTCTCCTCTCCAATTCCCCCCCCCCCCCCCCCCCCCCCCCCCCCCCCCCCCCCCCAATGAGAATTCAGGTCATCTCGCACGTAGATAATTCCTCCCTTTTTCTTCAATCGGTTTGCAGGTACTCACAGTTCAGGGTTGTAGCAAACAGAACATTGATCTTTTTCTTTTGAGGGAAAACATGTTCCTGACTTTTTGTTTGGGAGTCGCATTTGATCTCCCCAAGAATCTCCATTTTATTACCATGGTTCTTTTCTGGATTGTGTATGTTTTTTTCTTTTTACAGACCTTCAATTCGGGACCGCTGTCTCGCAGCTATTGATACTGCTTGAAGTGTATTACTTGTCCTGATACTGTAATATGAGCTGTTTACCAAGTTAGCTGGGTTTAATATATGGGTAGACTTGGTGGTGGAGGTTACCAGATTCCTTTTTGACGAAATCAGCTTGCTTAAATGCAGTCTGAAAGTGAAGGAAATTAGTGGGTGTGTGTGAGATCATATTGGATCATCTGTGTCCTAACTCAGCTGCTTTCATCATCTGGGACTAGATGGTTTTCCGATGAAAAGTTTGGCAGTGCTCAATATCCCCGCTTCTCCGCACCCTCCCCCCCTCCCCCAAGTCTTTGGAGAGGTGGTTAGAAGCTGGAGGATTGGGAGTTTGGGAACATCTTGGACTATATAGGCAACACCTTGACTTTAAAAAAAAAAGGAAATCAGATTCTCAGCCTGTTGGGTTTTTTTTTGTTTTCGTTTTTTTGTCTGTCGGTTGTGGGGCTTGGGTCCTTGTCCCTCAGCTCTTCAGCTCAAGGCAAGCGGTCTACCACTTGAGCCACAGCACTACTTCCAGTTTTCTGAGTGTTTTATTGGAGATAAGAGTCTCACAGACTTTCCTTGCCCGAGCTGGTTTTGAACCCTGGTCTTCAGATCTCAGCCTCTTGAGTAGCTAGGATTACAGGCCTGAGCTACTGGCCCCAGTCCTAGCACTTGATTTTTAAGTATTGCCAAACGTCAGATGCATAAATTCCAGAGATAAGCAAGTAAAAATCAGCCATTGGCCACAAGGATTCTAAGTGCTGTATGTGTTCTTGGTGTTTGCATGCCTAGAGCTTCAGTAACTCTTTACCCCACAGAGTTCTGAGTGGTATTTTGTTTTACAAATGAGAAAACAGGTTCTTGCATGGCCAGAGTCCAATGGCTAAGCATGGGGGAATAGAAATTAAATTAGGAATTCAGTTCTTAACCGGTACTTTATGGATTGTTTATGTCCTAGTAGTTGTTTCCTTATTTTTAATTTAATTTTATTTTTTTTGGGTCCTGTCATGGGGCCTGAACTCTGGGCCTGGGTGCTGTCCCTCTACTCTTCAGCTCAAGGCTAGTGCTCTACCACTTGAGCCACAGCGCCACTTCTGGCTTTTTTCTTTTTCCTTATGTGGTGCTGAGGAATCGAACCCAGGGCCTCATGCATGAAAGGCAAGCACTCTACCACTGAGCCACCTTCCCAGTCCCATTGTTTCCTTATTGCTTTAAGACCAAACATAAGCATGTTCTTTTGTGTTCACAGCAGTCTTAAGGTGAAAATTTCTGCCTACTGTGGAAATACTTCCAATATTGAGCATAAAAATAATCTAAAGAGTTAAGAGGATAGATTTCCTTGGTCCAGTTCACCAGAATGAGAATTTGGAGAGTAGTTGAAGATAGTTTTTGTGTGTGTGTGTGGGGGGGGGGGGTGTTGGTTGGGTTTGAGCTTGTCTTTACACTTGCTCCACTATTTGAGTCACACCTGCAGCCTTGCTTTTTTGCTAGTTCTTTTGGAGATGAAATCTACCTACCCAGTAGCCTACTAAAGCTGCCTTTAAAGCATTTTTTAAAAAAAATTTTAAAATAAGCACCTCATTTAGATCCAGATGACTCAAAGACCACACTGGAATCCAAACCCTGATTTAGACTGTTTGGGATGAGATGAGGCAGGTTATTTTAAGGTGGCTTCAGAACTTTTTTTTTTTTTTTTTGCCAGATCTGGGGCTTGAACTCCAGGGCCTGAGTACTGTCTGTGGGCTGCTTTTTACTCACGGCTAGCACTTTACCACTTGAGCCACAGAGCCACTTCTGGTCTTTTCTGTTTATGTGGTGTTGAGGAATTGAACCCAGCATGTTACAGCATGTTAGGCAAGCTCGCTACCATTAGACCCTAGCCACTTAGAACTTTTAAGGAACTAAGTTGACAAATGTTCATGCTGAGGATATATATTTTTAAAATTTGATGTCTGTTAATTTGCCCATGTTTCCCTCCCTTACTTTCTCTGACTGATAACTAATGAAGAGACATTTCAGATGAGAGCCTCAAAACAAACAAAAATTTCATTTTCTTTTGGGAAAGAGGGTCTTGTATAGCTCAAGCTGGCCTTGAATGTGTGTTTTGTTAAAGCTAGGAGCTAGCCAATTTTTCTTAGAATTGTGGCCTTGCTTTTAGTTATTTTCTGCCACATATATTCGTAGAACAGCATGGTTCCCAGATTAGTCCCCATTCCAGACTTAGTGCTGTAGAATAATTAGGAATGAGGCCAGGCATGTACATATGTAAGAAGTTGTGGATTTCAGAATTTTGGGATAGGGAGAGAGTAGGATATGCTGCTCAGGACTGAGAAGACACCAAGTAAAGATTCTTTGAAAATGATGGAACCATAGATGGGGCTAGACTATTTGCCTAGCAAAGTGTGATGCCAGGGGTTCGATCTTATTACAATCAATTAAAAAAACAAATAAGTACATTTTTTATTAAGGATTATGGAAACAAAATGCTAGTGTTGGCTTCATAGCTACCCCTTTTTTTTTTCTGAATGTTTTCTTGTTTTTTGGACAATGTCAAGTATTTTATAAACCTTTCAGGCAGGCAAATTTCTGTCTCCAGTTCCAGTTTCCAGATGAGGAAAGAGGAAAGGCACAGTGACATTATCCTTTTCCAAGGCCATAAAGTGAGTTAGTGATGGAGCTTGTATGTGTGTTTTCTGGTTATTTAAAAAAAAAAA